CGGCGTGTCCAGTCTTCGGCCTGAGTAGCTAGACTCCGAGAAATCGGATAGGGTTTGGGGGTTAGAGAAACTTAGAACTTGGTGGAACCGGGTTGGCGGCGTCGATACGAGTAGGATGCAGCGTGTCCTAATTACTGACGTTTCTAAAACTCACGAAAGTCGAAGTGGAGAAATAAACGTATTTTTAAAATATGCTCCATTTAGAAAACAGTATTACCTAGTAGTCACAGGTCAGTGATAAATGTCCTGATAGGCACTGTTCAAGTGCCCATAGAGTGTCAACTAGAGTCAGCAATACTTCTCAAACTAGTATCCATAGGGATCACCTGGAGTTGTTCAAAATGCGGGGTTTGATTTAGTAGGCAAGGTTGGAGACTGAGTCTATAGCTCTAATGAGCTCCCAGGTGATGTCGATACTTTTCTGGCCTGAAGCATTCCGAGGCTAGCAAATCACCCAGGTGCTCACCTCTGGCCTACTGGACACCTGCCCCTCTCTGAGTAATCTCCACAGTCCTTTCTTCCTGCTCACCAGGTATGCAGAGGATTAGGCCTGAGGATGGAGGGAGAAACCCCGGCTTGAGTTCTTGCTTACTGGTTCCCATTTGTGAAATTGGTCTGGTTACTCATCTGAGTCTGTTCCCTACTCAGCTAAATGTAATAATAGCTGTCTTCTCACGGAGTTCCCGTGTGGTTCACATGTCACAAGGACACGACTTTTAAATAAGAATCTGTATAAATGCAAGTTATTCAAGTAAGGCAGACACTTAACTGGCTCTAGTGTAGAATAAATGAATAGTAATGATGGGAATAGGTCATATATATGGAATTTGTCATGCGCCGGGTATTGTTTTGGTTTTGTTTTGGTTTTGTTTTTTTCCCCTGGTACTGAGGATCGAACTCAGGACCTTGAGCTTGCCAGGCAGGCACAATGCGACTGAGCTAAATTCCTGGCCCACACGCTGAGTATTGTTTCAGTAGCCCTCTTCTACAAATGAAGCAGCACAGATTGTTACTATCCCAAGGTGATGCCGCTACTAAGTGGCAGAAGTATTTGAATTTATAGTTAACTTCAGAATATGTATGTATAGAGCAAGATGTTTTGTTTCTATTTCAAGTGACATCTGAATCTAACTTGTTTGATTTCTGTTGATCTAATTTTATTATGTCTTCCGTTTGTTTTGTTTTTCCAGAAGCCAGGGTACAAGGATAGGAGGAACTCCCTTTTACATAAAGGAAACTGATAATATCCAGAGAGGTCCATCCATAATGAAAAGCCTCTTGAGAAACCAACTTGTATTACCCTATTCTCAACAAACTTCAGTCTAAAAGCACTGTGGAATTCACTGCTGTAGGTTGACCCAAGGCAGTAGACTGGGACAAACATGAGGCAGCATTCCTAACTTTGTGTCACAATCACTCTGGCAGTCTGGTAAAGCCATAGACCCTTCTCCAAATATTTTACATGTGAAATGAAATCCATCATATATAATAAAATACTTGAAAATACTAACAAAAACAAATTTTTGATATAAGTATACTTTCAAAAGGTATAGAAATGTGGAATAGAAACCTAGGCAACAGTATCTCATTGTCAATCCCTCCCCCATTTTTGGGTACCTAACTGTGGCAAATTGAACTATCCAAGTTCAGAATGATTTATTTCCCAAACATCCTGGGTAATTTAGGTTTTATTGTAGCACATTCATTTATTATATGCCTTTGTAAATAAGTTGTGTGGAAGAATTACAAAATGAAAATAAGGATGAGAGAAATTTAAATATGCAATATTTAAATTTTTAGATAGGTTTTGATAACAGCTCAATACTGTGTGCTAAGTCTTTTCACTCATAATCCCATCGAATCCCCATTATACAGATGAAAAACTTCAGGTTATGTAACTAGTAAGTTGTAGGCAGACCTCAGAGATAGACTTGTTTTTTTTTTAAGCAGGTTCTTACGAAGTTGCCTAGGTGAGACTTTAACTTTTTGTCCTCTTGCCTCAGCCTCCCTAAGTCCTACAGGCGTGTGCCAGGAAGTCTGACCTCAAGGCCAGCACTCTTAACCACATTAATTTTCCTGTTACTGCAACTATCTCAAAATATTTTATGTATTCCATGTAGAGCTCTAATCAGTGACTAAAAAGGGATTTTCTAAAGTCTTGGAGTGATACTAATTATACCCGATATTATCTTTAAATGGGCTACTAGTTGGAGATGGAAAAAAATTTTGTTTTACAGAAATTTTTGTTGTAATGGAGTTTGCAGAAAAGATAATATCCACCCATGTCTACTTCAGTATTGCAAACATACTTCCACGTTTGAAGTCTAAACTTTTGTTTGGTAATGGTGTCGCCATATTTTTTATATTCATTGTTATCAGGATCATATACAAAGTAGGCATGGTGGTGTGTACTCCCATCTGCTTGGGAGGCTGGGGCTATGGAAGGTTTCTTGAAATAAAACAAGATAAAAAATTCATTTACAAAATAAAGCCTACTGTAGAAATTTTGGATTATCCACGTTTAGTGAGGCAAGTGATGGCATAATGCCAAATTCAGTTTTATTTGCCCCTCTTTAGAAGTGAGTTTTATTGCTCAAGCAAGAGGACTTATGATAAAGCAGGATAGGATTAGCTGGGAAAAAAATATATATATAGATATATATTTTTGGTACCAGGGATGGAACTCAGGTTGGTGGAACCACTGAGCTAAATCCCCAGCCATTAGCGGAAAATTTTAAACATTTCACATACTTGCATTACAGAGAGCCCACTTTACAGTTGCAGTTAGTTTTCATTTTTATTATTTGATTTAATTTGGTTTAGAATGATAATGTCTGTCTACAGAAAGAAAAGCAGATGTTTTTTATCATGCAGGCCAGTCTGGGAGGGCTCCTTCCAGTGTACAGGCCCTCTGTGCTGCATGCAGTGCTGCACAGCCCCTGAGACTCACTTTGGTGTTCCTGTTAAAAAT